CATTCGTCGCAGCTTTGGGAAGTGATAGGAGGCTGGTGCATGGCTCGAGATTCATGGATGATGTAGCGGTTGCGGTGCTTGTGAATAGGGAAGTGGAGGCCTCCTTCGAGAGGGCGAAGGAGATTTTTGCCGGGTTTGAGAGCTGCTATGGCGACAGATTGCAGATTGTGCGCACAGATACAGGAGACAACACAATTGATTTTATTGGAGCAAGGGTTACCGCGATTCCCAACCCTGTCAGGTTCCTCATCGAACCCAAGACGAAGAACCAGTACTGCATGCTGAGGGAAGGGCTACCATTCAGGTCATTCCAGGACTTCCTCTCATACTCAGACAAGAAAGCGAAATGCGGGGCAATCAGCGGCGCAGTGCACCGGATCAAGCAAATGGGTAATGCCACGTGTACAGAACTACTACCCCTGCTTGCCACCAAGAGGGAACTACGACGCCGGGGATACCCCTCGGCGTTCTTCCCCGCAGTCTTGGCAAGGATTGCCAAGGACACCACGGCTACCTGGGACTGCCTCCTGATGCAGACCCGATAGCCATGGTACGGTAAGCAGGAGGAGCGGGATGGCATGCCTGACCGGAGGGCAGGGCGATAGTAGCAGGAGTAGCATAGTACGGACCGCCGAATTTTCTGGGGACAGCCCCGTGTATACTAGTCAAGTGGCAGGCTTCCGGCGGTAGCTGCTTTAGCCGAGATAGTGGAAATAGGTAGGAATAGATGCACATATTTGGGTAATATGAATTATATCGGAACGCAAATTTTGAAATTTCTTGCAGCGACGGCGCTACTTGTAGTTAGTTTTCTCCCGCCCTAAGTGCTCGGGATTTTGCTAGTACTGGCCTGGACACGGGCACAGCGAGCTTAATTTATTTTATTGTGTGAATTATACCGGATCGCAAATTTGAAATTTTGCTTGTAGTTAGTTTTTTCCCGCCCCTACGTGCACGGGATTTTGCTGGTACAGACCTGGACACGAGCACAGCGGGCTTAATAACTCAAATACGCACGCAGAGTAGCCACGGATAGGCCATGGAAATTACATCGCAGCACGGGTAGTGGGAAACCCCGTGAAAGTACGCGGAGGTAAGGGCAGACAGATAGACGGGAGGAGTAGGCGCTGAAACACCTGAGCGGGAAGATTATGTCGATTATTTCAATTCGGATTCAAAACGGGGGAGTCAGTTGTGGCAAAGGTCGGGCACGTGGAAGGCACGTGCCGGTAAGAATGCGGTAGGCAGGCGAGCGCAAAGCAGACCTGCGAGGCGGGAGGTTCAGACTCGAATCCAGGCTGAGGCGTGTACACCAATAGGATTACAGATGAGTCGGACGAGCGGTTGTACACGCAGGCGGTAAGTGTCAGACCAGACCCGCCACCTAGGCATCTGCGACTAGGCACCCTGTGTACTGCATATATAGAGGGCAAGGCCGTGACGGCCCTCTATACTCAGTTGGAAGGTCCGTGAGGTGGTGGCCGCAAGGCAGGGCAGTGGAAAGCCT